TAAAGAAAAATATAAGAATAATATTAGTTGTATATTGTTTATTAATTTAGTATATTTTTATGTTTTTATTTGGGTCATAATGTTAAACACAAAAAAACAAATGTTTTGTCTCATAATCATGAAAAAACACATGGAAAGGGTGAGCAACAAACACATTCAAAAAATATATAAAAGTTAATAAACAATGTTTTGTGTAATAAAATTATTGATCAACTTATTAATAAGCGTCTATTGTTATAGATTCATTTATAGAATGTTTTCAAAATATAAAAATTCATCGTGAACATCGTAAAATATTTATTTGTACTTTTTGAACTAAGCTTGATTTTTTTACATGGAGTATCATTGATAACTATTTAAAGTGGACACCCGTGAGTTTTAATCCTAGATTCGCCACTGATGATATACAATCTTAATTGGGCTGAAATAAGAGAAAACCTTAAACATATGAAGAAGGCCAAAATAGAACTAATTTGATTGTTAGCATTTTTCATGCTAAAGTAGAATAGCTTAAACATGAACTTTTCAAGAATAACATTTTCGGAGAAATTTGTACTTACACTTACATTATAAAATTCCAAAAAATGAGGACTTCAACATGCATATTTTTTTTGCTTATCTTAAAAAGTAACTTTAAAATGTATATACACCTGAAGACTTTAACAAAATTGTTTCTGCAGAAATACCATCACAAACTGCAAATCCTTATTTGTGTAGGATGGTTGTGCAAGATACGTTTCATGGTCAATGTGGCTCTATAAATCCTTCTAATACTATGTATGAAAAAGACATGTTCTTGTAAAAATCTTTATCCAAAAGACTTTTCTTCTCAGACTATTCAGACAAACAATGCATATCCTATATGGGTCTGAAGTGAAAGTCAGAGGTGTTATTCTTAATAATAAATGGGTGGTTTCCTATAATGCCTATTTGATTTGTAAATTTAACTGTCACATTAATATAGAAACTTGTTCATCAATAAAGGTTGTCAAGTATATATATACACTGCTTCTTAAAGTTAGTGTCAAAATCAAAAAAAGTGAAAACTTAGTGTCTTTTGTGGGAAAAAAAATTCAATTTTGACACGTCAGCAACGTCATCAAAAACTGACACGCCATCATGTCACGTCAGCATGTAACCGGGTTGACCAGTTAAGTGGTCAGAATTGTAAAAAAAGAAAAGAAAAAACAGTGTCAAATTTGAGACAAAAAAACAGTGTCAAATTAGAATTTTGGTGTAAAGTTAGTGTCTTTTGTGCTATTTACCCTATAAATATAAGTAGATTTGTAAAGGTTTTGACAATATAAGCTTTAATATTTCTCTAATTACATACTATGTTCTTATAAATGAGATCGACGAGTATCAGTGAGGTTGATGCGTTTCTCCTCCTGAAGGTGCATGGAGAATTTTTAAATTTCCTTTGGGTGAAAGGAAACCAGTTGTTAATCATTTGCCCTTGCATTTAGAAAACTATCAACCTTTGAAATTCAAACGTAAATCAACTTTGGATAATATTCTGAGTAACTTTGCTCAAAGAAAAACTATTTTGACTGAACTTTTTGTTGAAAATGATACAGACATTTTAGCAAAATAACTTAAACTCACATACAATCAGTTTCCTGATCATTTTGTTTCGAAGGGGGATAAAAAGATGTGGTTAACCCCAAAAATAGGTGACTCAATTGGTCATATTGTGATTGTGAATCCAAACCGAAGGCAAAGGATATGTATGCAATTAATGATGATTTAAAAAATGATTAACGGAGTAACTGTTGCTACCTTTAGAGAATCTGCTTTATTATGTGGCTATTACCTTGACAATGCTACTCAACAAGTATGTTTGCAAGAAGCTTGTATTTTCATATGCCATGAGTTGAGAAGGCTTTTTGCTTCACTTTTAGTTTTTACCTGTTCAAATAGTCCGCATAAGTTGTGGTTGTAATTTGAAGATTCAATGATGGAAGACATTTTACAGAGACACGCAATGAATCTAACTCCCCATGCATTTAAAAAGGTTGATTGTTTTCTGCAGTCAATGGGAAGACGTCTTGTCAGTTTGATGTTCTACCCTAAAATTCATTTGGCCATTTGATGGAAGACGACACTACTAGAGAGATTAAAACAGAAAAAATATTGTTATTTCCACTGAAGATTTAGCTGCAATATATACTCTTAATAGAGAACATAAAGTTTCTTTTTAAATGATAATGGATGTAGTTAGCTATAATAAACCTGGTTGTTGCTTTATCGAAATTCGCATTTTAAAATACCTTTAGATGTGGCTGTGAAGGGTTTGTATGTAAGGTTAGTAAAGATAGATCTTGAGTTGTGCTGATTAGGATGTGTAAATTAATTATATGGGATGAGGGACCTTGAGATGTGACGTATAGATAAATAAGATCTATTGTATATACACTTCGATAAGATCTATTATATATACACTTCAAGTTTTTATATGAAAAATGGACATACACTTTAATTTACTTTTATTGTGAAATTTGCATACTTAAATTACTACTTTATAATTAGCCTACTTTTATTATGATGTTTCCATACTTAACTCGCTACTTTATAACCATCTTTGTCTGTAACACAGTCTTTACAAAAATGACAAATCTCATGTAACCTTTGGTCAATTATCTAAAATTTCATTTAAATGCTTATATTATGATTAAAAAAAATTAACATAGATAATATACCACAATGTTGAATGAAACAAATAAGAGATTGCAAACCTGATCATATTTGAGGTCAAAATTCAAAAACTATTGACTACAAAAACTCTTGACTACAACTTTCTACCATATCTTGACGCTTTAGGTTCATGATTTGACTTATTGTTAAAAGCAATAACCAACATGAATGAAAATTAAATTAATAAATAAAGAATGACAACAAAGACCCATTTAAAAGATTTATGGATAAAATACACTTTGGTTGTCTGTTTGACAAAGATACAGTAGGATTATTAGAATTGTTAATTGATTCTTATCCACATCCCTTATGGGCATTCTGAAAAATATTGGATTTGCTTTGTAGATATGAATCATTTTGTGGCTCCAACGTTACAAGCTAAAAATTGTTCAAATAAGAGTCTATGCAGATGCTAATGCTAATGCCATTGGTCATTGTCAACACCACACAATCAGAATTGATAAATTGTATCGTATGTTATTATGTGAACGTGAAATACAATGGGAAGATATGTACTAACAATATTTACATTCTAATCCCAAACTAATACTAATAGTTTAATACTAATACTAACTGTCTAATACTCCCTCGTAAGCTAAGGTCTGGTAAGAACGTGCAACTTGGACCGTAACCCTTTGAATCTTTATGAGGATAGTGGCTTAATGAATATATCAACAATTTGGTCATCTGTGGATATAAATTAAATCAAGAGTTTTTTGGCAACAACCTTATCACGGATAAAGTGGAAGTCAACTTCAACATGCTTTATGTGAGCATGAAACACAAGATTAGCAGACAAATAGGTTGTACCAAGGTTGTCACACCACAGTGGATGACCGATAGATAGTCTTTTGTTTTCTTGCTGATTAAGAAACCAGGTTAGAACCAAGGTATATTGCATATCCCTCGGTGGATCGACGGTCATCCGGGCACCCAACCCAATTAGCGTCAGAGAATGCAGCAAGCAAAGGAGATTTCTTATCACCATAGGCATGAATAGTGGTGTCCCGTGAGGGGGTGAGGCGTAAACCAAAATTACTGGTGCCTTTAAGATACTGGAGGATGTGTTTGATAACGGACTGGTGATTCATAGTGGCAGAATGCATGAATTGACAGACCTTGTTAACTATGAAGGTGATATCAAGCCTGGATAGGGTGACATATTGAAGAGCACGAACCACCTATCGATATCAAACAGGATTCCCAAAGGGAGCACTGTCACCAAGAGCCAGAGGTGTTCCTATAGGAAGAGGGGTGCTGACCGGTTTGGCTTCATGAAGGCATGCATGTAGTAAAATGTCTAAAATATATTATTGCTAAGATAGGAAAAGGTCAATACGATGATATGCAACCGCAATACCAAGAAAGTAGGAAAGTGCACCCATGTCTTGAATATAAAATGTTAGACTAATACTTTTAATAATTTGATCTATAGTCATAAGGTTATCTCCTGTAAGTATAATATTGTCAACATAAACCAACATGTAAATGCGCATACCCTTGATGGAAAGAATAAAGAGCGAGGGATCATTGTGAGATCCTTTGAAATCAAGGGCATGGAGAGCACGAGACGTTCTGTGAAACCACATGTGAGGGGCCTGTTTCAGCCCATACAACGACTTGTGTAGCAGGTAAACATGCTTTGGGTTACGTGGGTCAGTGAGGCCTGGAGGTTGATGCAGATAAAATATTTCGTGCAGGTCACCATAAAGGCATGCATTTTTAACATCCAGTTATCAAAGTGGCCATTTTTTAGGCACGGAAAGAGAGAAAAAAACATGTACGGTAGTAAACTTGACAACTGGGCTAAACGTATAATGGTAGTCGATCCGGGGTTGTTGATGAAAGCCTTTGGCAAGGAGACGAGCCTTGTAACGTGTAATTGACCTAGTGCGATCTCGCTTAATTTTATAAACCCATTTGCAATCAATAATATTCATATTAGGTTTGGGTGGAACCAAAGTCCACATACCATTTCGAAGTAGAGAATCATATTCGTCAGCCATAGCTTTTCTCCAGTGTGCATGTTTAATGGTGGCAACGAACGTGGTAGGCTCCCGATCACTAGTAGTAGATGTATGATAAGCCAGGGGATCAAAAGGAACTTTCTTTTTGGGATTTTGGAAAAACGTAGCAGGTCGGACACGGGTGTTAGCAACCTCAGTTACCGAGGGTTGTTCCGTTACAGGTTCTGATGGTTGTTTAGTAGCAGATTTTGTTGACTGCTCTAGTATAAGTCTTGAATTGTGCCATTGGTAGTGAGTATAGGTGACAGTGGGATTGGTGGAGGGAGCACTAAGTGCCGCTTAAGGTTCTGATGTGGGCGGTGTTGTCAGGGTCGGTTGTTGGACTGGTGGAGATCGCAGAGATGGTGGAGGTGATAGTAAAGGAGTCGGTGGAGAACCATCAAAAATAATATGGAGTGAGTAAGTGGAAACATATGGATCAGATGAGGGGCTTGTAAATGGCTTAGTTTTAGGTGTTAGAAATGGAAAGTAAGTCTCGTGAAACTGAACATGACAAGGTATGTAGAGTTTTTCAGATGTAAGATCAAGACATCGATAATCATGGAGAGAGGAGCTGTACCCAACAAAGACACAAAGAGTGGACCGAAAATTCATCTTATGCTGGTTGTAAGGTCGAAGGTGGGGAAAGAATTGACACCCAAAAACTTTCAAGAAGGAGAAATTTGGTTGGCGTTTGAAGACGTGCTCAAATAGAGAAACATGGTAAGAGTTCAGAGAAGGCATGCGATTGATGAGGTAGACCGCAATATCGAAGGTAAAGTGCTAATAGCTTTTAGGAACACCCGATTGATTGATGAGTGTTACGCCTGTTTCAACAACATGGTGATGACGCCTTTCAACCAAGGCATTTTGCTCACATGTACGTGGGCAAGCATTTTGATATATGATACCCATATAGGAGAAAAAGTGGGTTAATTTGCGAAACTTACCACCCTATTCAGTTTGGAATGATTTGAGTTTGGTAGAAAACTGACGTTATGTAATGGTTCTAAACTGCTTAAACACATCAAAGACATCTGATTTGCGTTTAAAGGGAAAGATCCACATAAACTGTGAGAAATCATCAACGCAGGGTAAAAGGTAATTATGACCATCAATTGAGGGCATGGGTGCTGGACCCTAAACACGACACACAACAAGATCAAAAATATGTTTAATATTAAAACCAGACGACGAAAAATGAATTTTGGATGATTTGCTAATGTGACATGAATTACAAAAAGAAGAAAAAGCTTGACTAGAAAAAGGAAGGAAGTATTTTGAACACATAAAATTAAACAACTGCGGATGAGGATGCTCGAGCCGTTGGTGCCAAACATCAGAAGGAGATCTTAGAGTAGTAAACAAAAATTTAGGAAGACGCTTGAGAGACGGTAAGCGAATGGAGTAGAGACTATTTTTACTTGGACCCATGAGGAGGGTAGTTTTGGCAGTATTGTCCTTCACAACAAAAAAGGAAGAGAGAAATTCAAAGAACACATCATTGTCAAGACAAAATTTTTGAACATAAAGAAGATTCTTTTTTATTTTGGGAACATGAAGGACATCAGATAAAGAAAACGTTTTTGATGGAGAATAAAAGGTAGTAGAACCAACATGAAGGATAGGTAACCCCATACCGTTTCCTACGTGAAGAGCATCCTCACCAAAATAAGGGGTGTGGTTGTCCAGAGAAGAAAGATCATGAGAAAAATGATTATCAAAACCTGTGTTAGTAAGTCATGTGGTTCTTTAGGAGCGATTCTCTACGAAATTGGCAGTGGGTTGTGGCCGAGGGCGGATGGTATTGTGGTCACGGTTAGGGCACTGAGACGGAATGTGGCCAATACCGCATCAGTTGCATGTGTAATAGGAAGTGTTCTGAGTGGAAGACCATGGGAACTGGTTGCGATGTCCTCCAGGTTCTTGGTTGTAGGAGCCTCGGCCACGGTGGTTGTTGACACCATGGCTACGAGATGACACAAACCTGTTGGTGTAAAAGGCTTGGGAAGGTGATTGAGAGGCCAAGGAAGGCTGGCGACCAGGCTGGTTAATTAGCTACTGAAGTGCTTGTATGTGATTAGGAAGAGTAGGGGCAACACTAAGGTTGGAACGAATGGAGGATCTATCGGTAAAGGCCTGAGCGGGAGCAACAGTAGGTTGAATCTTTTTATCATAAAATCATGGTCAGCAAGAAGACCATGAAGTTCTTGAAAAGAGGTGGGGTTTTGGTGGGCGAGGAGGGTAGATTTAAGCCCATTGTATTCTTTGCGAAGGTAAGAAATAACGAGCATAACAAGATATTTTTCCTTGATTTTTTCCGTAATGTTTGCAAGAGCATCAAAGTACTCTTAAGTGCATAAAAGGTAAGCGGTTGTAGTTTCATCAGGTTTAATCTCAAGTTTGAGAAGTTGAGTTTTGAGGGTGTATTCCTTAAAGGAAGACTGAGGGGGCATAAGCTCGTTATAGAGAGAGCCAAAGTTCTCGAGAGGTTGACCCTTGGACATGAGAAAAAGAAGCTTCATATATGGTGGATAGTAGAAGCATGCGGACATGGACATCATTAACCTACCATATATTATATGAAGGGTTACTCCGAGGTTCAGTGGTGGAAGCTTTTTCATCCGACGTGATAGTAGGGTTAGGGAAGGGAATAGTTCCATCAACATAATCAAACAGGTTATTATTAACAAGTAAGGGTTGAATTATTGTTTTCCAGAATCCATAATTGTTAGGAGAAAGAGTAAAAGGGGACTGATGGGAATTATGTGATGTTTTCTCTGCTGTTGAGAAGGCAGTGATTGCAGTCATTGTGAAGATCGGATGTAATAGCAATAATGGTTGGCTTGTGGATGATCGGTGGTAAAAGAGATTGTGGCCTGCTGTGATCTGAGCTAATGATGATAGGGTTGTAACCCTTAGATGCATCGCTGGGAAAAGGGCTCTGATACCAAATCAGAATTGGTAAATTGTATCGTATGTTATTATGTGAACGTGAAATACAATGGGAAGATATATACTAAAAATATTTACATTCTAATCCCATAACTAATATTATCAGTTTAATACTAATACTAACTGTCTAATACACACAAACTCATGTCACCCCAACTGCAGGTGTGTATGTAACATCCCGATGTTCAGGTACTTCTAACTCTTTCATGTCATGATAATTGGTCTAGTGGTTGCAATCTTGAGGTTTAGACACGACGTGTTGGAGGCACCAACACGACGTGTCTAGACATTAAAAGACACATGTTTTGGCTGAGTAACACGACGTGTTTTCCCTCTGAACATGGAGTGTTGACTGCTGTGTGTGAAACCCTAATATTCTGGGGTTTAGTTCCCCATTTAAGGAATATGGGGGCTAGGGTTTGTCCACCCTCAGCCTCTATCTGCCCTATCAAGCTCAAGAAGAAACACTAATCCTTTCCTCTCCTATTTGTGAAGATAGTTGGTGTTTTGAAGGAAGAAGGTGAAAGAAGGAAGCAAGGATTCAGCTAGCAAGCATCATACTTCAGTGTAGCGCCCTCCCAGACCATTGTAAGTGTCCAAGTCCCGATTTTTATCACTCACAGTCACTAAATCTTGAGATATGTCCCATTTTCTCTTTTTTATGGGTTGATGCATGGAGGGATCTCATAAAGTTTTCAACTTTATGAATCTCCAAGTCAAGGAGACCTTGTAGTGGTTTGGATCTGGTTTCAACCAAAGTTTTGATGCCATGCATAGAAAGTAGGTCATGAATTCCCCTGTTGACCTAATATGGGTTCAAGACATGCATTGGAAATGCATGTCTTAAAAAGCACAAATCTTTGGAATGATTTAGGTGGTTGCACCATTTCTGGAAGGAAGGGACTTTGGATCTTAAGGATTGAGGACTTTATGGTTATGCCCTTGCATGGTTAAGCATGTAGTTTGAATTTTTGGACCTTTTTGTGGTCCCAAAGGATAAAGTTGGAAACTTTATCCTTCCTAACCGCATTCCTAGTCCAGATCTGAGCCTTGGAGCTCGTGGGGTCGAAAAGGCAGCTGAATATCTTAAGCTGTTAGGAATCTGGAGAACACGGCGTGTTGGCAAGCCAACATGGCGTGTTGGCTAAAGTTTTCCCGTCTGTGGAACTTTTCGCGGAACACAGCATGGTAAAAAGGGAACACGACGTGTTAGGTTAACCTAGACCGTTGACCTTGACCATTGACTTTGACTTTGACCAAGTTTGACCTTGAGGGTATTTTGGGTATTCTGGGTTTTGATGGAATTGGTCATTTGATGGTTGTAGGCATTTGAGTTGAGAGTTGAGATTCGGAGTCGGACCTTATCAGTTATGTGCTGCTTGTGAGGTGAGTTGTCCTCACTGTACTTGCGGGTCAAAGGCACCAATGTCGACCCATTAGATTGATATCCTGTTTTGCATGCTATTGTATTGTTATGATCTATTAGATCGGTATCCTTGGTAGTTAGGATGTTGGTATGCTTAGTGATCTGTGTGTCTGGCTGTAGACTGTTACATGATTATCTGTTATATGTGCACATGGTTGGTTGGTGTCTGAGGCTTCACTGCTTTATGTGTAAGCCAACAGGCCGGGGCATTCCAACCTGATGGTTGAGGGCCTAGGGTATTCTATCCCGAGGATGATTGGACCCATAACATGTTGGCATTCCAACTCGATGGTTGAGGGGCCTAGGGTATTCCAATCCGATGATTGATTGGACCCATAATATGTTGGCATTCCAACTCGATGGTTGAGGGGCTTGGGGTAATCCAACCCGATGGTTGATTGGGCCCATAGTATGCTGTTATTATGCTTGAGCTATTTGCTATGTATTGGTATTTTGCGGGAAACTCACTAAGCTCTGGGCTTACAATAATAGGTTATGTTTCAGGTACCTCAGATGTTCGTGGGAAGGCAAAGGCTTATCGTGGATCTCATCATGTTTTGTTTATGATTTTGGGATTACTCTGATATTGAACTCATTTTGAAAACAATTTGTAAACAATGATGGTTTTCGGGTTTTGTCAAAAAGTTTAAATTTTCCATGAATTTTATGTATGTTACAAGTTGGTATCATAGCCTTGGTTTGAGTGAATTGGAGGAACACCCGTGTGAATCTAGTCTCAAACTAAGGAAAAGATTTTTAAAATGGTTTTCAAATGGTTTCAAAATAATCAAGGAGGATGCGATGTGTACGATCAGCCGGAGCCAGTAAGTAGACCCCAAAATACCATATTGTAATATGATATTGTGATATGTTAGAACAACATGCTAGTGATAGGCTAATGATCTTCAAGTTTTGCATGATAGAGTTTCTTGATTATATGATTCCTGATAGCCTAGGGTTCTTCTCTAATGGAATTGACATCATTACTGTAGTTGCTTAGTGTATGCATCATGGTTGTACATAACTAAGATCTTATAGCCTTAGAATGTTTGGTTTGGACTAATTTCCCGTTCTTGTTTGATGAAGGGCTTAGGGTAGGATTAAATATTCGAATGTCTATAGGGTCCAACGTTATGTATGGCTAGCATAAACGAGTGTTGCAGGGTTGGTGGAAGTTTCATGAATGAGTTGTGTGGGGTCAACTGGCCAGTTTTGTGTTGTTTAGCCTTTCCTCTAGGGGTGAGGATTGAGTGTATGGTTATGTTTGTGAGTATTGTTAGGGTGTGTGATGATCCTATGAGACAAATACGGGTATGTATGGAAGGTAGTATGGGCCCGTACTATTGAAAGCACAGGACCCGTA